AGCAGATGCTGCTGTGTTTTACGTCCAATGGATGATGAGCTGGTTAGTCGAGTAATTACAAAACTAATCTGTGAGCAGTCGACTGTCAAACGAATGGCAGCTCACGGTGGTTCATATTTAGAGCTACAGGGAGATGACCTCAGCTGCTTAATTATGAATTGGGATGAAAAACATCATTGGTGAGCCTGACATGTGTCATAACCCTAATGAGTGCTATGCCTGACTTTCCTCTTGTGATGTCAGTGTTACAGATTAATACCAGTCCCAGACCCACATCTGTAGTTCACATGGCTTATTGATGCTGGGCTGAGTGACATGTGATGGAGGGTGGGTACTGTGTATGGTCCCTGATCACTCAGTCACACAACACTCACCTGCTGCCTCCCACCAAAGCTACTTTGTCAGGTAGATGTGCTCTGCTCTATACCAGACGACCACATTGTTATTGTAATAGCAACGTACTTATTAGGCTGTTTTCCCAGCATCGTAATAATGTTTGTTAGAAATGTAAACATGTTGATGATGTTAAATGATGCGCAGACAGCAGTTTCCTGTAAATGACAATCAGCGATTGTCTAAACCTGCGTTTTGCCAAAGAAAGCTTACATCATGCTGAGCTGGCGTCCTGAAAATGCTGCACGAGGTTGGATACAGATTACAGAACGATGGCGGTTTCAAAGGAAAGTGAATAAACTCTGATCATCCTCAGTCGGGTCACACAGCTGAAGCACACCTCGACACGCTCCTGCGTTTCGCCCATCACCCTGTTCACATTCCAGTCCGTGAATAAACTAGCTGCCATGTGCACAGCTGAGTGCTCCACCTGAGCTCACACTGTCCCACTGTTGTTTGATTGAGCTCCAGTCTGCTGACTGTGTGGCCCACTGGTCCCACAGTAAAGTTCCCTTTTCTATTACACCTGTATGTGATGTGCACTAGCTAAGGTACACATAGCTGTATGTTAATGAGGCGGAAGTGGGGAACGCACTCTGGCGCCCCTCTCCCCCCCTTCAGTGGGCGTAGCTGCACACCGGCAGCAAACGCTGTTGCACATGATGCTGAAAAAGCTCCACGAGTGGGTTAAAACCAGCGAATACAAAAGAGCTCAAATGTTCTGGGATCCTAACAGCACCTCTGAAGATGAATGCTTCGTAGTATACTGTACACTATAGATGGTTCTGGTGTGGTCTGCACCGCCCCGCTGTGTGGTGCCGTGTTATATAGTCACACGTTGCTCCCCACGAGAGGCTGTGATTCACGGGCTGGTCGTCCTCATATTTGTGTCCACGTCAGCTGACATGCACTTCCTCTACTTTGGTTTCCTCTAGTTTTTCCCGTCTGACTCGTCTCTCTGTCACGTGTTTGCTCTTCTGTGATAATTACATTATGTAGGCGTTGGTATCGTGTTGTTTGTTTATTAGTGAAAATATGTTTTATTGGAATAATTTGTAAAATGAATCAAATCTCTTAGAATAATGATTTTGTTAAATCAAACGTACAGTTGAAAGTTAACACTTCTTCTTCTTTGCTGTTACTGCTCTTGTTGTTGGATGGGGTCAAAGTTTCCCTGTTCCCTCAAAAATGGTATCCAGTGTTTGAAACGACATTATCATGACGGCCCTACTGCCTGTACACTCTGGCCACGAGAGGCTGCACTGTTGTGCACCAGGACACGCCCAGGACCTGCTGCAGCTGACGGTGTTGGATGGAGCGAAACTGTTGGGTCTGTGTTTCCACAAACCCCGCTAATTCTAGAGACTTATTCATCATGAAGAAAACAAGACAGTCGATCGATCCATTACTTGCGCAAGGGAGGCCTCTCATCTGTGTCCAGCACGACAAATGACCTCGATGGTGGCCTCCTCTCGCTGCCTTTTATTGACAAACTTCAAACAATAGTTTACAAACACCTCCCCTTGCAACCCCCTTTGGTTACAAAGACAAGGCACTGTATGTAAATGTATATGTGTGAACTTCTGTAAAGAGTGTGTGTGTGTGTGTGTGTGTGTGTGTGTGTGTGTGTGTGATGTGTGTGTGTGTGGGGTGGTTATGGTGTGAGTGTGTGTGTGTGTGTGTGTGTGTGTTAGACCTCCTGCTGACCAAAGGGTCGTAAACGCAGGAAGCCTACATCAAAAGAAGCAGATCTTCCAGATAGGATGTATCTGCAATAAAACATTACAGCCCCACCAGAACCTCGAGAATCTGGGGGGAAGGACAGTGGAATTTCTTTCACCAGAGTTAAACACTGTACAAATGGTAGACATAAAAATGACAAACATTTAACAATTTAACTCTATTAGAAACGATGAGGCGTTCTGCTGGATTTAGGCCAAGGTGGTCTCAGTTCATCGTCCAGGGATGAACCTGCTCCTGTCTGTTAAAGCACAGGGTGCTAAGGCTGGACCTGCCAGCTCTGCTATTCTGAGGAAATGTTAGTCGGCTCAGCACAGGGCCCACCTGTGGATGCTGGGCCTTCAGCCCACTCCATAAAGTCTGCTTCTGATTGTTTGGACATTCACACCAGTGGGCTGTGGGCATGCTGTTTATCCGTGCAAAAGGAGCAGATGCCGGTCCTGCTGATGGGTTAAGGCTCTTCTACGGCCCTGTCCTCTGGGATCTCCTCCATGCTCGTCAGACTCTGCTGGGAGATACAACAAAGCCTCTTGCATGACATGCACTGATGGAGGAGCTGGACTAACCTGTAGCGTTGAGATATTGCTCCATGCTACCAGTGATGCTACCGACTCTTGCCAAATGCAAAACAAGACTGCTACTCTTGCACCAGAACGCTTCATCAGTCCAGATTAGTGACGAACACTGGATGAAATCACAGAATGCAATTTATGCAAAGTGTGCAGCTTTACATGGACTCAAAGAGCAAATGCATTGATGCTGTCCCAGAGGCCGGGGTCCACGCTGCAGGGATAAGTGGAACGCTCTTTGTCCGAGTCAGAGACTTTATCAGCCTGTATCAGACGGAGTGTTGTAACCAGCCGTGCAGGATCGCATGCTGTTTGTGAAACACTGCACACAATCATTCAGGATAGTGTGTTCGCAAGAAATGTTTCTGTGCAGCTGCACTAACACCTCACTGTAGGTAGTGGGAGGAGTTTAATGCTGCGTATCCACGAACGGTAAAGGAAAATCTGTGTGGAAGAGAACGCGGTGGCGTTCCTGTCGCACGTCTGTGTTTGTGAGCCCGACGTGGCGCCTGGGTACTCGCTGTAGTTGCTACGTTCCACAAAAGAACACAGAAATGGTGCAAAGCAGGGTGTTGCTAAAAAACATACTTGTCAAATGGAAAGTATAGGCTTTAGCTGAGACACAGACATGGCATAATGGTAATAATGATAATAATCATTATGACTTGACTGAGACACGGAGAGAAAAGAGCCGAATAAGGCCAAAACGGGATAAGGAGATTACGGTAGTCTGACAGCGGTGGCTGTTTGTGTGTTTGTGCACTGCTGAGAGAGGGAGTGGTTTGGACACGCCAATTTAGTTAATTTGGTGTCTTGTCTAAAAGCAGCCACTCTGAAACACAGTGAATCACTGAGTGTGCACACTGTGAACCACCTGACCCCGCTGTTGTTTGCCTGTTGTTGACGTGACAGCGGGCTCCGCTCGGACACACAAGTCTGCTCAGGTCAAGTTTACCAGAATCGGTGACATGTGACGTTGTTGAGATGAAAATGGTCCAAATTACAGGACGGGTAACAGTCTAAAAAAGCACATGAGTCAGTGTCCAGGTAAGTATAGCACTCCTGCCATGACATGCTTGAACAGAACCTCATTTTCATGATACTGAGGGAGACATTCCCACTGCCACTCGTGGCTTTGATTCAAGTGGACACGCCCACTTTCCACTGTCCGTGGTTATTTTGCTTGTTGTCAGGTGATTTCAGCAACGCTCCATCACCGCACGTTTGTGCACATTTCAACAGCGTTTTAACCCCAGCGTAGTCACATGTTTGTTGTCTGTCTTACTCTCAACGGGACCATGAGTCAGAACATAAACTCTGCATTAAGATCATGAAACAATCAGCAGACTGAGGACGAGCAGAAAGGTCCATTTGGTCCTGGGCTACCTTCACCAAGCACATGTTGCTTTCCTGCACTGCTGCTTTGAAACTGCTCCATCATAAGGTGCCTTTTTGTCTTTCTGTCACTACAACTGACCAACATTTACAAACTGCACTTGAAGTTTGAGCTGAAACTGGCGACTGAGCCTATAAACCATCAGAGGAGAGCTTCCAGAGTCAGCAGGGATGTCTTCCTAACACTTACACATGTTTGTTATTTAAATGAATAAGAACCAAAGGTGCACAATACTGACAGTGAACACACTTACATGATTACAGTGTAACAGTTTCTCATTTGGATGGAAAGTAGTTGAATAATAATGTGACATAACAAACATACAGATGCATCATTCAGAACAGGGGGTCCAACTCCAGGCCTGGAGGCCCGGTGTCCTGCAGGTTTTAGATCTCACCCTGGGTCGGCACAGCTGAGTCACATGATTAGTTCATTCCCAGGCCTCTGGAGAACTTCAGATACATGTTGAGGATTTAAATCAGCTGTGTTGGATGAAGGACACCGGCCCTCCAGGCCTGGAGCTGGACACCTGTGATTCAGAAGGACGGCTGCTGTGTCACTGCTGATCTGATCACACAGTCTTTAAGTCTCAGTTAAAAGTTTCTCTTCCTGTCCTCTCAGTGTTTCTGAAAGCTGCTGCAGAGTTTCCATGTTTAGGCTTAAAGTCTGAAGTGACTGAGTGGAGTTCATATTCCATCCTGAATCTCCACACAGCACAGGGGCTGGACGGCTCACTGCTCCCCCTGCTGGTCGCAGCACAGCAGCACAGGCCTTTGCACACACACACAGTCACACACTTGCCCAGTTTTATTCATGCACTTTGTTTCTTTTCCTTAACTCTGTGCGCACAGGTTTGTTTCCTGCTGTGAGATGCTCTTCTAACAGCTTCTCTCTTGTTGCAGTCACAGATGAAGATACTGTCAAGCGGTACTATGCCAAATTTGAGGAGAAGTTCTTCCAGATGTGTGAAAAGGAGTTGGCCAAAATCAACACCTTCTATTCTGGTAATACAGCTGCTAGCACTGGTTTCAAGGCTCACCAAGACTTCTTATTATCCTGTCTCTTCTGTCTTTACCGTGTCTCGCTCTCTCCTTCCAGAGAAGCTGGCAGAGGCTCAGCGGCGATTTGCCACGCTGCAGAACGAGCTGCAGTCCTCGCTGGATGCACAGAGGGAGAGCTCAGCCAGTGGGCGGGGCCTGAGGAGGAGGAAGACTGTGTTTGCCTTGTCACAGCAGGAACGATGCAAGCACAGGAACATAAAGGACCTGCAGCTGGCCTTCTCAGAGTTCTACCTCAGCCTTATACTGCTGCAGAACTATCAGGTGCACACTCGTACAGCAGGGCAAAAACAGAGGAAACCTTTGATTATTGATTATTGATTATATCGTCCCATTTCCCCGAGGGGTCAGTCTAGCTACTTATTATGGTATTTGATTGGGAGATCAAATCACACTGTGACTGATGATAAATAATAAATGCTGATGCGGGTGAATGTGCTCAGCCACTGTTAGGTAGAGAAACACGACACAGTTTTAAAATCATTTCAAAAAGCCATGTTTGAATTTTAAAGCCACAACAGCAGCTGCTGCTCGCAGGCCGACACGAGGCTGATGGATGTACGCATGTAATGAAACAACTCTGCTTATTTGTGAGCCGTGTCTGAAAAGGCAGCGTGGAACGTCACAGCTGCAGCTGACTGGTTCTCATTGGTTGGTGCTTTTTCACTAACAAAGCGTCTTTGGGATTTGGAGTCCCAGACCCAAATCCATCGTGGTCCGTGACCTCTAACCTTTAAGTTGCGAGTACGTGTCGCCTCTGAGCTCAGTGCACCGAGGACAAGCTGCAGTCCTGGAGGATCAGCTGATCCCAGCCTGCATCAGCTCATTGTTTACTGTTTTCCACACGTTACCTGCTGTGGAGATAAAAATGTGCTTTGTTATGGATTCTAATGAGCTCAGTGCACAGCTGACATTTCAAACAGCTGATTGGCTCCTGCAGAGGCGCCTGACTCCTT